CTCACTTGCTCCACAGATACCTTTTTCTGCCTGGCTGCAAGCAGAGTCGGTATTGGAGGTTCAGCAGGGACTGAGAGATACAACCTTTCCTTTAAGGAGTTTGGAGTGGGACCACCTCGAGCAGGAGTTTAGGCATTCCTGGAGCTGGGTGGGTCCTCAGGCATCTCTTGGAGATAAGAACAGAGTTCATGCTGATCTTTTCCGAGGTGATCCTGGGCCTGCCTTTCTGGAGGGCTAGGCAGCAGGGCACGGCTGAGGCTTGGGGGCTGTTGGCCCCACACAGGCTGGTTTCACCAGAGAATAGACCTAACACAATAGCTCGATTGTAAGAGGCCTGCCTGCCCCTTCCTTCCCCACCCCCCACACGTGAACATTTCTGTCATCAGAATGTCTTACAGTGATATATACATGTAACGGGACATTGCAATTGTTTACAATTTTATAATGTTTTACAACATTACAATGTAATGCTTACGATGTCCCCCCACCCCGATAGTAAATCAGTCATATGGCTTGCAGTCAGAGTGAGGGAATTACGGTTCTGTCATAGAAACTGCTGTCAGAATAAGGTTCTGATGTGACCTATCACCACAAACTCCAAGCTGCCAGTGGCTGAATAACCCTTCTATTTGGGGTGTTTTATATAAATTCACAGAAAAGAAATGCTATTCAATGAATTGATTCATTCTTGAGATTTCCACAGTGTGTTTGTCCAAGATGGAGCGGGATGGAGTAGAATGAGCCCAGATCTGGGTTTGAATCCCTGCTTTTTGGCCCACTAGTGGAGAGACCTGGGCAGAGGTGCTGCACCCTCTGAGCCTTAGTTTTCTCTTCTGTAAAGTGGGGACAGCACCGCCCATCTTGCAGGACCCTCTTAGCACCACATGCTTCCCCTTTGCAAGTCTCCTGCTGTTGTGTGTTTGTGTGATTGTTAGCTTCACCTTCTACCTCCTCCACCTGGGCTGTGGGGTGCAAGAAACAGAGCCCCTCCCCTATCCAACTGCTGTCAGTCGAGAGCATTTCAGATGAAATGATCTGTGCTTAAGAGAGAGGCCGGAGCTGAGTGTACCTGCCTTGGGCAGGGCTGCTGTTATGTTTGTTCTAATGTAGCTACCAGTGCCTCTCCCTGATGGCTTCTGAAGAATTGCTCAGGTATGGCCCAGTGTAGACCGCAAGGACCTGCTCCTCGCTTCAGCAGCCCCTGGGGTCTCCAGGTGGGAGTGCAGGAAACACAGGGCTCTGCCCCACTGAGCTGGTGCCAGAGTTCTGTGGCGCTGACCCTGGGGGACAGCAGCGCAGAGCACCAGGTGCGGGAGTTTCTGAAGCCAGACAGCCTGGTTCGGAATCCAGTTCCATCTCTCGCTGACTCGTTACCACAGGCACGCTGCGTGGCTGTGCTGAGGCTCATCTGTAAGAGTGGTGGCAATAACGCCTACTGTGTCTCAGAGGTGGGCTTCTATGACAAGCAAGCGATGCATCCGAATCAGGGAAGCATGTGGTTTTCAGATGGGGTGGTGCAGCATTCTCTAGGACAGCGATGAAAACAGATGTGGCTGCTGGGGGCCACGGGCAGGGGCCCAGTGACAGGGTCAGGAAATGAAAAGTCAAGACACCTTGAACAGGGCAGTAGAGTAGGGAGAGGTGTGGACTTTGGAGCCAGACTGAGCAGGGAGCAAGTTCTGCATAATCAACTGTGTGATCTTGGGCAAGTTACCCTCTCTGAGCCTTTGTTTTCTCACCTGTAAAACGGGATGCTAAAAGTAGAACTGCTTCCTAGGCTTTGGTGGGTTCTTAATAAATCATTGTGGATGGAGGAGTGGCTCAATTCTGCCCATGAGCTTGCAGCAATACCGTGCATTAC